TAATATATAGATTATATGTCAGATTAAATTGAGGTGTGGCACAAATCCATGTATAGAATTGTAGTCTAGAAATAGTTTCCAATGAGATTGAATTGTACATCAGTTTTTAGACTGAAGTTATTCTGGACACTGAAGTATATTCTCACGGTTTAATTAACCATTCTTCCATAGAGAGGATCAAAGATCAATAATATGTTCAGTGTTATGAGTTGTAAGATTTTTAAGTTCAATAAACTTGCTAAACATTCCTCCTTGTTTCTATAATTCTTTTGTTGCTGTGCTGCTTATTTGAAAGTATTGGAACCAACTGTGTGGAAGAGCACTGTGTAACAAAAGATTTGAGAATTGATTCTGGCTTGTATGGAAAAAATCAAGTTGAAATTCCAATTTATATGTAAAACTTAACGAACCACATATGAAGGCTTCCTGGTGTTCTGATAAACAAGACTTTTAATTAGTAGTTTCTTTGAACGAGATCAAACTGGAAATACCAATGTTTTCATGAAGATTGTGCATGGGGTTCTGCATTTATTTTAGTTTACTTTATTGTCATTGCACCTTGTACAACGAAATTAAATGCCATCTTCAGTGTACATTATAACTATAAAAATAAAACATAAACGCACATTCTATACAATTGAATTGAAAACCCGATATTGCATTAATATTGCACTATACAGTATAATTCAATATAATTACTGCCCTGGAATAGAAGTTGTTTTTCAGCCTATTTGTCCTTGTTTTTATTATCCTGTATTGTCTGCCAGGTGATAATAGTTCAAAAAAAGGGTGCTCAGGATGAGATGGATCTTTAAGAATGTTTTGAACTTTCTTAAGGCAGCCGGAAGTATAAAACTCTACCAAAGAGGGGAGAGGGCAACCAGTGAACTCTCTGGATTTATTGATTTATTGATTCAGTAAGATTTATTGATTCAGTAGTATTGAAACCTGGATGCGTAACTGTTTTACTGTTTTGGTATTATTTTGATTTTACAAATACACTTTTAGTTATGCAATTTAACATAGGTAAATTGTGTATGTGTTTGTGTGTCTGTAATAAAATATCAATTACAAATAGTTTTAAATTTCAAGAAGGATAAGCCACTCCTTTTAAATAGTACTTAAAATATGTAAATCTGAGTGCAACCCATTGCATTTCAACTGCCACTTGTACTAATGTGAGTTTTTAATAAATAAGATTTAGTACTTAGGCTCAGCCTAAACTAAGATGTCTTGCTAGCAGTTGAATCAAAAAAGGTGGATAGGAAAAACGGAACTTCTAATTCATGTCTCCCCAAAGATTTGCACTCTTTAAAGAAAAAGCAAGTTCTTACAAAGAGGGATAGAAAAAGTGGCAAATCAAGTGATTATTCTACATATCTCTGTCCTTAAGATCAAACTGAATATACAATTTAGTAACATTAAATAATGCAATATGTGATTGCCACATACAGCAAGGACGAGTCTCTACTACATCAGAGTTTCATCAGAATGATTTGTTGATATCTACGCATATTTTTTTATCTGTTAATCTATAACAGTACTTATAAAAAATATGTCATTGAATCTTTACCGTTTATTCAAATATGAAGGCATTAATTTTAGAAAGACTAATAATTGCTCTCTCATTATAAATATTCTGGTCCCCACCACTTCGATCACAGTACATTGGTTGATAACCAATTTATGACCAAACACAATGCTTGAATAAAGTCCCTTGTTTATTAAATATAGGCCTTCATATATAGGCCTTCATTGTATGTTAAGGTAATCCTTAACATACAATCATCATCCATACAACCATAATATAACATTTTTTTTTACTATCTTTTTTGTGACAGTTGTAAAGCGATGGCTACAGTTGTTCCCTATGGGGCAGTTTTGCTAAAAACCAGAAGTGCTGGTTTTTGGCAAACCGTTGCAAAATGTGGTCACATTGTCATGGGATGCTGCAAATTGTCATGAATGTGGCCATGTTGCCAAGCATCCAAAGTTCAGTCATGTATCTGTGGAAGGCCCCAACCATTGGAACCTCAAATCTGGGTTATAAATTCCCTTTTTCAGATTAGTCATAACTTCAAAAAGTCACTAACTGGTTGTAAGTCATGGGTCATCTTGTATCTCAGTGGGTCTCAACCTTCCTAATGCCGCGACCCTTTAATACAGTTCTTCATGTTGTGGTGACCCTCAACCATAAAATTATTTTATGTTTTCTGTATTTTTTTGAAAATATGTGTTTTCCAATGGTCAGGTGACCCCTGTGGAAGGGTCGTTCGACCCCCAAAGGAGTCCCGACCCACAGGTTGAGAACCACTGTTAGACTCTAGAAAGTCTAAGACTCTAAATGGTGGTTTGCTGCTATTTGGCTCTTTGAAGTTTCCTTCCTTCCCAATATGAATAAAGAAAAGTGCTGTTCTGATAATAAATATGATTCTCAGTTTTTGTGATTTAAGTGTTCTGATGTCTAAGTTGAATCAGTTCCTTATCACCTTCCCAAATTGTAATCTCTTTTCCTTCCTGTAAAAGTCAAGGCAAGCTATTTGAAGAGCCTTATATGGTTAGAACTATCTTATTTCATATTTGTTCCTATGAAAGTCAGCCAGATGACATTGAGATGTCTATGAGAAGAACAGGAGCACAGTATCCCCCTTTCTGAGAGGTATGCTACCCTTGATATTAAAGCAATGTCTGGACATCTTGGCTAGGAGTCATTGATAGTCTTGAGTCCTGAGCAAGTAATTCTTGGTGTGCAGCTGAAGTGTTGTACAACCCAGGATTTGTTATATATTCATATGTTAATTGGCTGCCTTCTTTCTAACAGGAAAATATATTTGATCGACCCAGAATGACCCCAAAGACTCCCATGAAAAATGAGCCCATTGATTTGTCCAAGCAAAAAAACTGTACTCCTGAGAGAAGCCCAATTACACCTGTGAAGCTGACCGACAAGCCTCTTGCAGATCCATGGACTCCAACAGCTAACCTAAAGATGCTTATTAGTGCTGCTAGTCCTGACATGCGGGACAGGGAAAAGAAAAAAGAACTCTTCAGACCAATTGAGAACAATGAATTTAGCGATGCTCTCCCCGATTCCTCACAGGTAACTCACCTACCACAGGGAAAATTGTCACAATTAAACAGCTACCTATTTTAATTATATAAAAATCTCTTTAGGTGTGTAAACAGCTGCTGTTTAACATCCACAATCTCAGTAACCTTCATTTGCATTCTATTTTTTTAGTTATGTATAGTTTATTTAAATTATTAGCAAGCAGTATTCAGATCTGAAACAAGCAAAGTGTGTTTTAGGGGTATCTAGCATGTTTTTGATGTATCTCTTGACAGCTGCTTAAAGGAATCTTATCTTTTCGTGGGCTCTCATGGGAGCACTACAGGGCCAGAAATATGTGTGATTGAGTTAAAAAAAACTACAGGAAAATGACAACCTGTTGCCATCTGAGTATTTTTTGAAATTAAAGATTCAAAGCTGGGGCATATCACGTATTTTTCGGAGTATAAGACGCACCTTTTTCCCTCAAAAAAGAGGTTGAAAATCTGGGTGCGTCTTATACACTGAATACAGCATTTTTTTGCCTCCCGAAACCCCGTCCCCCTCACCAAAATGGTTGTGGAGAGCTTTTAGGAGCCATGCAGAGGGCTCCTGGAGGCTGGGGAGGACAGAAATGAGCGAAAAATGGGCTGTTGTTTTGCTCAATTTTGCCCCAGCCCCCAGGAGCACTCTATAAGCCTCCTAAAGGCTATGTATGCAATTTATTTGACAAAAAATAGACCAATTTTTGCGAAAAACAGGCCATTTTTTGCTCATTTTTGTGGTCCCCCAGAAGCACTCTGCAAGCCTCCTTAAGGCTACTCATGCCTTTAAAGGGGGGGGGGACATTCTTGGGAGGTCTGCAGAGTGCAAAAACTTTGTTTTTTAATTTGCCTCTTCAAAACCTTCGTGCGTCTTATACTCCGAAAAATACAGTAACTATCTTGTAAGCCTAAGATAAATATGATCCTGACAATACAATAGATAGGCCTAGGAAAGACCTAAAGCACTTTTAGAATAATGGGCAACAATCTTTTCAGGTTCAAATAAAGGAAATCTCAAGTTCTGAATGCTTTGACTTAGTAAGGCTTGGTTTTCTCATAGATATTCTGCAAACCTCCCCCAAACGGCCTGTTTGTTGCGAAAACGGGCTCTTTTTTTCAAATAAAAGGCATGAATAGCCTTGGGGGGGCTTGCAGAGTGCTTCTGGGGGACCACAAAAATGAGCAAAAAATGGCCTGTTTTTCGCAAAAATTGGTCTATTTTTTGTCAAATAAATTGCATACATAGCCTTTAGGAGGCTTATAGAGTGCTCCTGGGGGCTGGGGTC